CGGGCTCTCTTGGGGCCTATAAGCCCTTAAGCCCTTTTTGCATCAGGCCCCTCTGTCCACCGCCCGTAAACCCGAAACAATGAACCCTGGACTTCTGAACCCTAAGTCTAAACTCCCGAAACGACTGCACTTCAGCCATTGTCTAGGTACTCCCAAGAAAAAAAAGACCATGAGCTTCCGTGCCGCCTCCTTTCCACAAGGGTCAGGGTTTAGGGTTTAGGGTTTAGGGGTTAGGGGTTAGGGGTTAGGGGTTAGGGTTTAGGGTCCCTGAACAAAAGAATATTGTTATTGCAAGTAAAGCAAGCTAGGCCAATCAGGAAAATCAAAATCAAGGCGGGGGTTCTTGAGTGGCCAGGACCAACAGCTTAGGGTTTAGGGTTTAGGGTTTAGGGTTTAGGGTTTAGGGTTTAGGGTTTAAGGCTTAGGGTTTAGGGTTTAGGGTCACACTTGCAGGCGCGCAAAGCCACAGACCGAGCCCCCTGCAATCCATGCGGAATCGTATCCTCCGATGCCACCTGGGGTCCGCGACATCGCTCAGCGAGTTGAAAGTTGACACCTTACAAGCCCTGCACCCTAAACCTCTATACTGAACTGGGAACCCCGGCGAAAATTTTAACTTTAGCTGTTTCTTAGGAATTGCTGTACCCAAAGTTATTCCCAAGTACCCCTAAGAGACCACAAACAGAATTGCAGAACTCTTCACGTTTTCTGACAGGCGCGCAATCAGACGGAGGGATCCTAAGATTCTAGATTTGGTATTGGGCCGCATCCCTTCAGGGATCGCGTAGCTTGGCGGCCTACGAAGGAAAATACAGCTACACCGAGCTGCCACGAAGCGCTCCGCAACTAAGGGTTTAGGGTTTAGGGTTTAGGGTTTAGGGTTTGGGGTTTAGGGTTTAGGGTTTAGGGTTTAGGGTTTAGGGTTTCACCTTTCCGGCCCTTATTGCAGCGCTGAAAAGAGCAGAAAAACGTGAACCGATGCTCTCAGTGTGCTAATTCAGGAAAACCGCAGGCAAGCGCAACCCGTCACTTGGGTCGCCGGTCCATCTTCTCCTGCGCTTGCAAGGTATAAAACGTCCGTGCGCTCGCAGCATTACGTTCCCGACCTGTCTAGCTGCTTCTACCTACCAATTGCTTAAGAACACCCCAAAAAATGAAAAATATTCTTCCTTGTAAGGGTAATATAAGGAGTATAATTATTTTTTTTGGGGGGGGGGGGGTCTTAAGCAAATCATAGCTACAGGGGCTAGAAGGGCTCTAAGGGTTGCAGAAGGACTGCACATGGGGTCATGAGATGGGTACCCGAGTAGAATGACGACCAAGAATCTCAATATGGATTCGTCTTAACACGACCGAGCCACGACCATCCTCAAACATTCAAAGCACTTGATAATCACTTGGGAGGTTCCCCCTTACGAACCATCCTTGATAGAGATTCTCATAGGAGTGCTATAATCCCGATTAAGGACTGATAGTACAAGGGGGAACATCCCAAATTATAACATTTCCCCCAGGCATGTATCAAACAACAGTGGTAGTATGCTTCCGAAGGAGACTCTGGGATCCTTGACCGAAAGATCCACATCAAAACGTCCCTGGGTCTGAGCCTAACCCTAAACCCTAAACCCTTTTTGCAGCCGGACTGAGGGCCCCCAAACCCTAAATCCTTTTTGAGCAACGGACTTTGGAGGCTGCTGGCAAACATGCAACTTCTCAGAAGTCACATCACGCAATCTGGCGCAAACTAACCCTAAACCCTATAAACCCTAAACCCGTTTTTTACGGCTGGGACTGCTGCACTGGCTGCCTGGGAACCCCAACCCTAAACCCTAAACCCTAAATTCCAAACCCTAAACCCTAAACCTCGGGGTCTGAGCCAAGGTGCCGGTTGCTGTAGCTGGCCCCATCTGCCCTCCAAGCTGAAGGACGGCGCCTGCACACCTGTGGCCTGGCAGGGCTTAGGGTTTAGGGTTTAGGGTTTAGGGTTTAGGGTTTAGGGTTTAGGGTTTAGGGTTTAGGGTTTAGGGTTTAGGGTTTAGGGTTTCGGGTTTCGGGTTTCGGGTTTCGGGTTTCGGGTTTCGGGTTTCGGAAACCCATCTCTCGAGCCCCTCTCTTGGGTCCGGGCCCTGGATGGCTTGAAGTTGGGTGGTTGTTTCGGGTTTAGGGTTTAGGGTTTAGGGTTTAGGGTTTAGGGTTTACGGTTTCAGGTTCTGCGAGCCGATACAGTAAGGCAACATAGAAGGTTGCCCGGCTGACCCATAACGAATGCTGATTAAAGAGCCGCGTAGGGTGTTTGGTTGGCGCGAAGAATCATATACAGCACATCTAACGATGCCCTCAAAGTAGTATAGGCGCCTTAATGATTCGAATACGGTTTTGGGGCTTCGTATAGTATATGGAGGCCATGAGGGAATTCTACTTGAAATAAATCCGCCCCTTTTGTAACCCTCGATCCCTAAGTATTTTTGGGGGCTTACGATATTAAGGATACCCCTTTTACCCCCAAATAGAGTAGAATTCCCCCTACAAGGGTACCCCGAAATATCGTAAACCCCTATGTGCACATCTCAGGCCTTTGCTATGGCAAGTCCGAGTCTTCGGGGTCTAGGGCTGATGGGAGGTTTAGCGTGGAGGGCGGGAGTCCGAGGCGTCCTCCCAAACCGGCGGGGGCTTCCGAAATTAGGGTTTAGGGTTTAGGGTTTAGGGTTTACAAAGGAAGCTTGCTCTTTGGGGGTCTATACATCAGGGGTCCCTATTTTCGCAACCCCCAAATCCAGTAAGCTGCTTTGCCTGCTCCCATGGGTACCGCGCAGCTGTCTCCTGACAAAACCAAGGCAGGTCTAGAGGGGGCTTTCAACCGAAAGGCTCCACATACCTTGGGGCCCACACGAACCCTGAAATTGGGATCAGTCTACTATCATTCCTATTAAGGCAATGTGAACCATAAACCCTTTTAGGGGTCCGCCCAAGACCCCATGTCACCGCAATTGTCGACGCTGCAAACTCTGTAGGGTGCAGGGTTTAGGGTCAAGGGTTAGCAGACGTCTGGAGGCGCACGGAACAGTGACTGCCCACGGTATTGAGACATGCGTCCCATACCCATGGCAAATGTAGGAAATGGACGAAGTAAGGGAAACATGCTCATGTCCGGGCCCTAAACCCTATAAACCCTCAACCCTAAACCCTATACCTTAAACGTCCTAAGCCCTGAACGGATCTCCTCAAAGGGATCTTCCTCACGGGCCTGAAGAAGGTGATGGAGCCCGGCCTGGACAGCGACTTGCGATGCGTCCACCCCGCCCTCCCACCCGGCTGGGGTTTCGGCTCTCGCACTCGCACAAACCCGGCTGGGGTTTAGGGTTAAGGGTTTAGGGTTTAGGGTTTGGGGTTTAGGGTTTCGGGTTTCGAGTTTCGGGTTTCGGGATGTTTAGGGTCGTCTGGTCCCGCGACTTAGGGGGCAAGGTGTCGGGTCTGCTGCCCTGCGCCTAAGCCCTATGCTTGAAACCCCCGAAACTCTCTCTGTCCTCTCCATCTCCTGGCTTTCTCTCTCTCCCGGCCCGAATCCCTACATGGGCTATTATTATTATTATTATGATTATGATTATTATTACCATTATTATTACTACTATTACTATTAATATTATTATTTACCTTCAAAAGGCTCTTTTTAGGGTTGGTCAGGGGATGATAAGGCCGAATAGCCCATGCTGGCCCCCCTTGAGACCCCAGGGTGCCTCCACTTGCTGCCGCACCTCGGCGTACACTGCGCTGCAGGCCCCGCGGTCGCGGTGGTCAAGAGAAGCCTGGGGCACTACAAAACCCTAAGAAGTAGACCCTAAACCTGCAAAAAGTTTAGAAAAAGTTTAGGTGCAAAACCCGAAGGCCCTAAACCCTAAACCTGCAACCTGCAAAAAGGTTTAGGGTTGGGTCTTTTTGGGGGTTGGGGGGGGGTTGGAGTTCGGCAAGGGCCATGCGCAGGCTGCCTCTGATTGCCTTTAGACCTAAACCCCAAACCTAATTTCCGGGGTTTCGAGGTTAGGGACGTTGTTGGACACTTCGGCTAGGGTAGCTGTTTGCGTTGGGATGCTTTACGAAGCGCCTTGGCAACACTGTGACAATGACAGACTCGTCGCAGGTTTGTTTCAAGATGCAGCCTTGGCTTGCCTGCCTTCTCAGTTTGCTTGTGCTCCGTGAGCATGGCCTAGAAAACTGGGCGGCTTTGTCTGCTTTCCTATAGAGGATGCCCTTTCGCGTGGCCTTCTTGCGGGTCGAGAGCGAAGATCGGAGCGGCGGTCTGCAGATGCTGCAGAGGACGTCTTGGGACTTGGCAAACAACCCAGGTATCTTGTCAGTGCTCTCCGCCTTTGCCTCCTCCAGCCAAGGCATCCGACACGCTTCCTGCATTACTCTGCTGTCCAACAAGGCTCCTGGAGAAGGGTTGACATGACCTGACTTTAAACCCGAACCCCACTCTTCTTGCAGCCCCCAAATCAGCTGCATGACGAATTTCGAAACCGGCGGGAGCAGAGCGAGCATCAGGGCGAGCATCATGAGCATCAGCGCCGTGGCCTTGTCCAATTCTCACGCAGCAGGGCCAGCATCAGAGGCACGAATTCTCCAGCAGTGGGGGAGCATCATGAGGATGAGTGACGTGGCCTTTTCGAATTCTCCAGCAGCAAGGCGAGCATCAGGAGCATCAGCTGCGCTTGGCGCTTTCGATTTCTTCAGCATCATGCGCATCAGCTGCATGGGCGAGCATCATGGGCAATACTGGCCTTCGTTTTCTCCAGCAACAAAGCGAGCATCACGAGCATGCACTGCATGGCATTTTCGATTTCTGCAACACCCAAGTGAGCATCAGCTGCGCATCATGAGCATCAGCTGCATAGCTGAGCACCAGCAATTCTTGGAGCAGGGGCCAAACTTGAAAGTCCCCCAGGACTGCTCGGCACACAGGGTGGTTCTTCGACGTCTTGAGCATGTGGCTGACATCTCACCGATCACCCGCTGCCAGGTACCCCAGCCATGCGATGGCTTAGCATGAGCATGAGACGCCCGAACAGTGGACCTCGACTTGGGCTCAGGGGTTTCATTTGGGGTTTAGGGTTTAGGGCTTAGGGTTTAGGGTTTATCGCGGCGCGATCCAATGTTGATATTCACGCGCCTATCAAAAAAGGCAACCCCGCATCTCTTGCAAGTTCTTAGCAGGGAGTTCGGGGAGGTACGTACCTTACATGCCCTAAACCCTATATAGACCCTAGACCCTCTCTCTCTGCCCTAAACCCTAACCCCCTAAACCCTAACCTAAACTCTGAACCCTAAACCGTTGATAGGGAGCCCAAGTCCCAACTTCTCTGCTAGTCGAACCCTCAACTCCCTAAAACCGAAACCCTAGACCCTAACCCTAAACCCTGGTTTTTGGACCCGGAGCTCTATCCAATCAGCCGGGAGCCAACCCTAAACCCTAAACCCTAAACCCTAAACCCTAAACCCTAAACCCTAAACCCTAAACCCTAAACCCCTAAACCCTAAACCCTGAACCCTGAACCCTAAGCCCGTGCGCTGTTTTCCCCATTTTCCTCCGAGACCGCGGTCCAGAGCGCTTCACCGCTCGCGGGTGGCGCGTGGGGCTCAGAATGACTGGCGAAACCTTGGTTTAGGGTTTAGGGGGTTAGGGGTTTAGGGGTTTAGGGTTTAGGGTTTAGGGTATAGTATAGGGTTTGGGGTTTAGGGTTTAGGGTTTAGGGGGATAGTGAAGGGTCTATAGGGTTTAGGGCTTAGGGTATAGGATTGGTAGGGTTATAGGGTTTAGGGTTTAGAGCTGTGTAGCGTTTAGGGGTCTCTAAGGGTAGCTTCGACGCTCAGGGGGTTTAGGGTTTAGGGTTTAGGGTTTAGGGTTTAGGGTTTAGGGTTTAGGGTTTAGGGTTTAGGGTTTAGGGTTTAGGGTTTAGGGTTTAGGGTTCAGGGCCACAGCGACTACAGCCAAGCTGCCGTCCCAGCAGAGATGAAGCCTCACCTCACAGCCCTAAACCCTAAACCCTAAACCCTACATGCAAGCCAATAGGAAACCATCGCGACTTCTGGGACCACACGAGACCGCAGCAATGAGCCCTAAACCCTAAACCCTAAACCCTAAACCCTAAACCCTAAACCCTAAACCCTAAACATGCTCAGCCTCACCCCCTTGACTCGAGACAGCTTTAGGATTTGTAGTTGTAGGCGTGTCAGAGCCCCTGAGCCCCGAAGTGTTCTTTCAAATTCCGTTTCTACATCTCATTTCTATATTCATCATATGTTATACATTGTACAACATTTTTGTTGAAATTTGTATATGTATAAACAACATATGCTGTACATTCTGTATCAGATATTGTCGTGTATATGTGCATAGACAGATATTGTCTTATCTGTGTATATATATATATATTATGATTTCTATAGTTTCGTTATCGACGGTTTACGCGCACAGCTCCACAGAGATCGTCCGAGGTGCAGAGCGAGCCAGGGCTGTGACTTGGCACCTTCAGTTACTGCTTCTCCTATTTTTTGTTGGGGGGGGGGGGGGGGGGTTAGGGTTTGGGGCATAGGGTTTAGCCCAAACGTAAGACTCCATAGAGCCTGTCGAGGCTTTCATTCCGGCTTTGCTGCTTGGGGCCTAGGTTTAGGGATCAGGGGTGTAGGGTTCAGGGTTTAGGGGTTCAGGGTGTAGGGTTCAGGGCTCAGGGTGTAGGGTTCAGGGTTTAGGGTTCAAGAAAATTTGCCGCCGCTGTTCCCGGGTCTGGGGCGCCAATCTTCCAGGTTTTGCACAGCACGGGGTGTGACAGGCTCAGGGGCTTGCGCCGCCCTTCCAAGACCCGACCCACACAGAAAGGTTTAGGGTTTAGGGTTTAGGGTTTAGGGTTTAGGGTTTAGGGTTTCGGGTTTCGGGTTTAGGGTTTAGGGTTTAGGGTTTAGGGTACCCCAGGGCCTGAACGCCATGAGCCGCAACCCTGAAAAGGCAAACGAGGTTGCGCTAAGCTTTCCAAATTGAGGTAGGGGTAAGATCCCAATGTGGGGCGATAACTTGGTAGCCCAGTAGCCCTATGATCATAAGCTGTTTGGAGTTGATTGCGGGAGCCCATATGAAGCAAAAGGGCAAACGGGCACCACCGGGCCACCAAAACAAGAGGAACCCTTAAACCCTTAAACCCCAAAACCCTTGAACCCTTAATCCCTAAATTATTTCTAGACCCTCAACCCTAAACCCCAAACCGAAGCAGGCGTGTCATGCTCAAAGGTGGCGCCGGGTCACAGCATCCCTTAAACCCTTAAACCCTTCCTTCAACCCTTAAACCCCTTTTTGCAACCCTTAAACCCTGAACCCTATCATGCTCAAAGCTGGCCGGGTCACAGCACGGCCAGGCAGGAGATGCAAGGCCAGTGGGACACGAAGAGCCAAACGTCCCCGCTCAGCTCGCAGTCCTGGCCTTCCAGTGGATCTAGGGTTTCGAGGGAGTTTAGGGTTTAGGGTTTAGGGTTTAGGGTTTCGGGTTTAGGGTTTAGGGTTTAGGCTTAGGGGGTTTAGGGGGTCTAGGGAGTTCAGGGGGTTTAGGGAGTCTATAGGGAGTTTAGGGAGTTTAGGGGGTTTAGGGAGTTTGGGGAGTTTAGGGAGTTTAGGGGGTTTAGGGAGTTTGGGGAGTTCGGGGAGTCGAGGGAGTTTTGGGAATTTAGAGAGTTGAGGGAGTTTAGGGAGTTCAGGGTTTAGGGATTAGAATCTCAGGGTTTAGGGTTTCAGGGTTCAGGGCTTAGGGAGATTTGTGAGGGGGATCCTTGGGTCTCTGCAACACACGATTGGAGCTTTGCTCCTCAAACTTCTGACAGAATGTCAGCTGCTCGGCCCACCACGAAAACCGTTAAACCCTAAACCCTAAACCCTAAACCCTAAACCCTAAACCCTGAACTGGGCCAGCCTGTTTGGCTGGCCGCGCAGCTCAGCGCGTGCGCAAACACCTGGGCGCGGGGCCTAGGAACTTCCATCTCGCCTTGGTTTCATGTAGGGTTTAGGGTTTAGGGTTTAGGGTTTGGGGTTTAGGGTTTGTGCCTTGTTGTTGCCACCTTGGCAGCACCCCCCCCCCCCCCCAACCCTGTGTTTGCCTCCTTGCTGTCGGTTGCCTTTCTCATGCGGCCCCTGATGCGTCCTGTTTACATAGGGGAGAAAGTAGATGATTCTTCCAAATGGTTCTCGTGTCTGAGGTGGGTGGCTTGGCTGACTGGGGAAGTTGGGACGATGTCTCTGGTCTAAACCTCTCAGTCCCCCCTGTCCTATAAAGTTTTTAGGGTAGTGTGAGGGTGAACAGGTCGAGGGGCCATAGACTCAGGCTGAGGTTTGGGGATTATCGGGTTCCGGGGTTCGGGTCCGATTGCGGTGTAGGGTGTAGGTGTTAGGGTTGCCAACCCTGTTTAGGGCTGAGAGACCCACCTCACACGGTTCGGGTCACAAGCACCCGGGAGGTTGCTTTCATGTTGCCGAAAACCCTGTGGTAATAAACGCCTGCTGTGTCCGGCCCTAAACCCTAAACCCTAAACCCTAAACCCTAAACCCTAAACCCTAAACCCTAAACCCTAAACCCTAAACCCTAAACCCTAAACCCTAAACCCTAAACCCTAAACCCTAAACCCTAAACCCTAAACCCTAAACCCTAAACCCTGCCCGCCTGAAGCATGGCCACCCGCTCGGCATGGCCACCGCGGCTGTGCGAGGTGCTGGCCAAGGGAAGCAGCAGCTTCTCCGCTGCCTGAGGTTTAGGGTTTAGGGTTTGGGGTTTAGGGTTTAGGGTTTAGGGTTTAGGGCTTAGGAATGAGGTACCCCAAAAAACCCCTTAAAGGATATATATATATATATGTATAGGTCCCTCATTCCCTCATTCTCTGCTGCCTGAGGTGGGCATTTTAGTTCTACTACGGGGTCCCTGCTAAGGCTTCAGGCTTTTCTCTCTTTCTCTTTCTCTTCCTCTTTCTTTTGCTCCAGGGTCATCAAGGTTGAGGGATTCTTCTCTCTTTCTATTCTGCTTCAGCAATCTCTATGTCTTTCTCTTCTTGCTTTCTCTTTCTCTTTGTTTCTCTCGCTCTCTCACTCTGCTTCTCTGCTAGCGGCTTTTTTTGCTGCCCGCCTAGCTGACACTCAGGCGACATTGCAGGGCTTAGGGTTCGGGGTTTAGTTTAGTGCTTGTCCTTGCCACCCGCCTAGCTGACACTCCGGACGCAATGCAGGGCACTAAGTGGTAAAATGAAGTGCATGGACCGGCCTGCCAGTGAGGGCAGAACTCCCTCTCAGCCCGGCCATATGATATGACCTGCTTGCCGGTGTTTTGGAGTTCGTCTGAAGGGGACATGGGGGTTGGATGAAGGCTGCTGGCTGCAGAGCAGGTGCCGAAGGCCTTTTAAGGCATGCATGTCGGTGCAAACCATGACTTGACTTGAGTTCTGGGCAGCACACAGTGGACTGCAAGTATAACACGTTGGAAGGCAAGTACAACTCGCTTCGGTGTCATAGACTTGTCCATTTTGGCCCGTGCTTTGGCGTCTTTTTCGCGATGCTGAAGTGTATTAAACAATCTTTTGAGATCTGCTGCAGGCCTGCTTTTTTAGTTGTTCTTAACACAACTCGCCGTGACAAGGCGTGTACGACCGTCACTCTGTATCTGCGTAAGTCCCTTCTTGGGAGTCCGCTGCAGGGGATTTCTACTATGTTTGGGGGTCTGGATGAGGGCACCCCTGTCTTCGGACACACCCAACCCTAAACTGCATACTTTCAACCCGAAAACCGTAACACCCTTAAGCCTTTATTCCCTTAAAGCCCTTAAACCCTTCCTTAAACCCTTTAACCCTAAACCTCAAACCTTACACCGTCAACCCTCAACCCCCCAAAGCAGCCCGAAACCCTAAACCCTAAACCCTAAAACCTAAACCCTAAACACCCCCAAAGCAGCCCAAGGGAGCCTGGCCCGACTCACAAATGTCGGTGCGAGGCAGGTTCGGGCTCTGGAGCTGCAGGTCGTAGGCAAGCCAGGCTAACACCTCCCAAGAGGGGGTTTAGGGTTTAGGGTTTAGGGTTTGGGGTTTGGGGTTTGGGGTTTCAGGGTTCAGGGTTCGGGGTTTAGGGTTTAGGGTTTTAGGGTTTAGAGTTTAGGGTTCAGGGCTTCTGGGGAATGGAATGCTCATGATATCTCAGGGTATGCCGACTCCTTCAAGCCCGAGGAACACCAAGATAGCTAATTCGTGGCTACCCCATCTACACTTTGGTTTGGGCCCCAGCAAGGACCTTGAGGAGCCAATGCCCACCTTCGCATGTGGACTGCAGATGGTGATTACTGTTGTGGTCATTTCCCAATCTGTAGCACTTGCGGCTTTGGTGCCCTGTGTGGTGACAGGCTCCAAAATGCTGAAGAACCGAAAAAAGACTACTGGGGCAGGTCTTCATACTTTTGTGTTATAGTATATCATATTATATTATATTATATTATGTTGTATTATATTAGATTGTATTATATTGTATTATATTACATTGTTGTGTTTCGCGCCGCGCCTTCGACTGGTGCAAACCGACTCGGTAGCTCTTGCCCTCCTTCTGCACAACACCCTCCTCGGAGGAAGGTGTTTATTACTCACTGGAATTAGGTTTGTTAAAGGAACTGACCAGCTCAGCTGCTAGACAAGATATCTATTTCTGTCTCTTCTCTCTCTCTCTCTCCCAAGCTGGCGTCAGCTACCACTCACTGAGGCAATCGAAGCTCGCATAACCAAAGGCTACAGGGCATCACAACTGCTCACTGCTGTCAGTCCTGCATGCGCTCGGGGGCGGTGCACTGCGTGGACGTCTTTTCGAAAGCCTTCCGTGCCAGCTGTCTTCAGCCAATGCGGTTTATGGTTCAGAGTTTAGGGTTTAGCGTTGTTCAGTGCCCGTTTGGTGGGACACCCTTTAAGGGTATGGACAGGGCCCTAATTCCCTGATTCCTAATTCCCTCTTTCCCTGCTAAGAACCAGGGGCTTCATCCTTCACAACACGGCCTAAACCCTAAACCCTAAACCCTAAACCCTAAACCCTAAACCCTAAACCCTAAACCCTAAACCCTAAACCCTAAACCCTAAACCCTAAACCCTAAACCCTAGACCCTAGACCCTAAACCCTAAACCCTAAACCCTAAACCCTAAACCCTAAACCCTAAACCCTAAACCCTAAACCCTAAACCCTAAACCCTAAACCCTAAACACAACACGGCATGGAAAGGAGGCCTCCATGGCCGCCCTGGCCGTGTTCGTCCAGTCCCCGGAAGCCCACAGACCGCAGCGAGACGCCAGGAGCCTTACTTTCATGAGGTTTAGGGTTTAGGGTTTAGGGTTTAGGGTTTAGGGTTGAGGGTTGAGGGTTGAGGGTTTAGGGTTTAGGAGGGCTTGCTTGGAGGTTCATGGTACTTATAAACCAATTATAACTGTACTTATAACCCACTTACAAGCCCGTGATAAGTGGCTCGGGCTCCCCTAAGCCCTTGTTGGCTTAGGGTTTAGGGTGTGAGGTTTGGGGTCTAGGGTTATGGTCTTCTCTTGCCAGCCCTTCATCCGAAATCCGCTCCCATGATCTCTCTCTTCCGAGGGGCTGCGAGTACTCGGGGCCCAGGTGTTCCAGCTGCAGGTCCCCGACCTGCAGTGGGTTTAGGGTTTAGGGTTTAGTGTTTAGGGTTTGGGGTTTAGGGTGCAGAGATGGGTTTCTGACTAGGACGGCCCTTAACACCCTCTGAAAAAGAATTCCTGAGTATGATTAACTTAAACCCAATAGGGAAAAATCTAAAATGGGCCAAGGGCCTACCAAGATGAAGTTTGGGGGTGGTCACTACCACAAGATTCCTAGAGGCAGGCTGTCCCCAAAACAAACAACGACAGGCATAGTTGAGATAAAGTCATTCTCAACAACCATTTCCTGATCCTCCAACATGTGTCACTGATCTCCTACCTGTGGTTCGCGAGCACGAGGGACTGTTTACTGGGGTTTAGGGCCCAACCGGGCTTCGGATCGACAAGCTCATACGGACCCCTGAACCTGGGCCCACTGGGGTCTCCCCTCCCCATATCTCTAGTGAGCCGTCATTTGATGCAGAGAGGTTTGGGAAAACCCTTCTTTATTAAACCCTAAACCCTAAACCCTAAATTTTAAATTCAGCTGTGTAGATGCCGCCACAGGGGCCCAAGCTTCCAGGAGGGCGAGCTCCTGTCGCATGGCCATCATCCGCTGAGCCGTGTCCTCGGAGCTCTGAAATGCTGCCACTCTTTCTCGGCCTCTCTACGCCCACAATGCCACACTCAAGGAAAGAGAGAGAGAGAGAGAGAGAGCCGGACTGCTGGTCCCTCAGCGTGCACTTATCAACACAACACTCAAACCATTTGCAAGATGTGGGGGCTTCCGAGAATAGGGGGTACCTAATTGGGGTCCTGATTATAAGGGAATCCTACTATGTGTGGTCTATGTTAAGGGTCCCTTATCTTCGTATACCCCCACGTGCCATGGGCTTCTGTGCATCCAGGCATCTCCCTCGCCTGCCGTGGCCCGTCGTAGCCGCTGAAGCTTCTCGCCTGGCGATTCGCCAAGCCATACCGCAGAGCAAAAACTTGTAGGGTTCGGGCTCGCCTGGCAAATACATGAGTCGTTGCCTGCAGTCCGAGCATTCCGGGTACAACTCTGGGTTGAAACCAAAGGCCGCCAAGTCGCAGAGAGGAGCGAAGATGGCGAGGCTGAACCGGGCCTTTAAGGCTTCCCACTTCTCCCGGTCTCCCGCGGTGGACAGGGGCTCCTCCAGCCCTGAGAGAACATGCACCCAGCCTTCGGCCGTGGACCCAAAGTCGTGCCCAAAAGAATCTCCAGGCTGGCGCAGGGCGTGGTCCGCGATCATCCGGGCCGTGTGGCTGTCCATCTGCTTCGCGATCGCCAGCGCCCAGGCGACGTTCCCGATGTCCAGCGGCTTCAAAGTGGCGAACTGCTCGCGGACGGCCTGGGCCAAAGCTCCAAAAAGGTCTTCGTCTTCCCACTGGAGCATGGCAAATGCCCACAGCACGCAGCCCAGATCCTGGGCACACATGCGCTTCAGCCGCCTCTTGTGCCCCACCAGCATGTCCTGCGCAGCCTCGGCGAGAAGCTCGGCATCACGCCACCACACCTCATCTATACTGAATTTGGAACCCTAGCAAAAATCATTGTTTTCGCTGCTTCTTAGGATGTATAGTACCCAAACATTCAAAAGTACTTTTCCCAAGTACCCCTGAGCTCATCTGAAAAGCTTCCGCGCCAAGGTCTTGACGACTTTGCCCAAGTATACCGTGTGACACCATATGGGGGGTTTCCGAAACTTGGGGGTGCCTTATTGGGGGCCTTATCAACTTCATCATGAGGGAATCCCACTATATTGGGGGCCTCTCTATTTGGGGGGGGGGTTCCCTATCGTAAACGCCCAATATGATATGACACCATGACATGCGTGTTCCCGATTCGGGCCTTGGCAAACGACCACAGAAGTTGCGAGAGGTCGAAGTTCTCGAACTCTTGAAGTCTGCCCTTCGCGTGCTTCGCAACCGCTGCGAACAAGCCTTCATGGTACCTTGGACTTGCAGATGCACTACAGGCAGACACATTCATAACCTACACCCCTTTTTTTCAGCCCTAAGCCCTAAACCCAAAACCCTAAACCCGAAACCCGAAACCTAAAACCCAAAACCCTAAACTTTAACCCCAAACCCTACACCCTCCCTAAACCCTATGCCTGAGACCCCAAACCCCCTTCTCTAACCGCGCATTGGCTTCCCGATGAGAGAAAGATGAAAGAAACCGCCACAAGAGTTGCCAAAAGGTACATGGTCTGGTTCGCGAAGGTCCAGAGCAAGTTGGCCAGCTCCTGCAAGAGCAAAGCAGGCTAGGAAGTCATACATAGGGTTTCGGCTTAGGGTTTGGGGCTTGGGATTTGGGGTTTAGGGTTTAGGCTTGGGGTTTACGGTTTGCCCCATGATCACACCCTTGAATAGAGCGTCTTACTATTATTGGCCGCTTAAGGACAAGCTCAGCTTCCTGGTTCAACTTCCCGCGGGTTTAGGGTTTAGGGTTTAGGGTTTAGGGTTTAGGGTTTAGGGTTTAGGGTTTAGGGTTTAGGGTTTAGGGTTGAGGGTTGAGGGTTTGGGGTTTAGGGTTTGGGGTTTAGGGTTTAGGGAACTTCCTGGCTCCTGTGTCTTGAAGGAGCCCAGCTTGGGAATGGCCGCCTCGGCCGCTGCGTCGAAGAAGCTCCGGAACATGCCGAGCTTGCCGTGGATGCGTGAGAAGGCCCACAGCACGTTCGTGATGTGCTGCGAGGACACCTGGCGCACATAGGGTTTTTTTGGCACCCGACTAGCCACATAGGGTTTATAGGGCTTAGGGTTTAGGGTTTGGTAGGGATCGATTATTTCTGAGGGTTGAGAAACCAAAAGGCCCAAGATATGGTTCACGGGTGCATGTGCTGGCCGACCGAGAGGCGACGGCACCCCAGAGACCCCAGTCTCTCTCGATTTCCAGTGGTGAGCTGCGAGAGGGTTTCAGCTCCCCAAATTGTTCTGGAACCCCTAAGCCCTAAGCCCTAAGCCCTAAGCCCGAAGCCCTAAGCCCTCCCTCTCGAGAGGGCTCGATGCCTCGACAATCCCACCCTCAACCCTACACTTCAACAACAAATTCTTCGTGCCAAAACTGCCTCGATGACCCTTGCTCGCCCTCTCTTCCCTCTTTCTCTCTTTGTCTTTCTCTTTCTCTTTCTCTCTCTCCCTCTCCCTCTCTTTTTCTCTCAAAGGACTCCCCCACCTTGTGGCCACGGTCCTCAAAGACCTCCGGATGTCGGGCCACCTCTTGGAAGAGCGCATGGTTCGGAAGCCGCGCCTGCGAGAAAGACCACAAGATGTTGCTCAGGTTCTGCCCGCCCAGGTCCTGGGTGCTCTGCAACAGCTCAATGGCTCTCCTGAAGGCTTCTGAACTTAGGGGGGGCACCTTCTTGTGTGGTGTTGTTTCAGGGAATCCTACTCTTTGGGGGGGTCTATTTTCGTCAACTCCCTCCTGGACGCCACGAAGAACAGCCGTCGGTTCACCTGCCGCGTCACAGCGCATCCCCAGAGAAGGTTGCCCAGGGACTGGCCATCGAAGTCGGGGATCCGAGGGACGGCGGCCTCGGCCAAAGGCCGGAAGAGGGCCCCGAGCTGCTCTGCGCGAAGGCCGAGCGCAGGGCAGCGCAGGAGCGTGGCGAAGGACCAGGCGGTGATGGCTAGGTGTCGTGGCTGCAGCTCGCATGGGCTGGTGCTGTTGGTGCTGTTGGCATACCGAAAGATATCTGCCAGGCGGTGGCTGAGCAGGACCAGAACGTCGACCGTGGCGCCGGCCAGCTCGCCCCTGGCGCCCGAAGCCCAACCTTAGCTGTCCAGTAACCTAAGGGGGAATTCAAGGTTCACCTTTGGGATTATAAGGGGATTCTACTACCCCAAAAAAAGGTTAAAGGTTACCCTACTCTACTCTACTACTAGGCAACCCCTTGCCAGACGGTGCAGGATGGTCGTGGTGCTGATGCAGTCCATCTCCGGCTCCTCCTGCAAGGACTTCTGGGCCACACGTAGGAACTCGGCCAGGTCGCCTCAGTCTAGGTGTCTCAGCTCTTACTCCCATGGGGCCTACTTCAAGCCTACTTCTTCCCTTCAGCTCAGCAAAGCAAAAAAATAAAGCTGCACCCGTTTCCCTGAACTTGAGTCGAAGTGCCTTGCTCGTAGGCCCGGACGAAAACCAGATGCGCCGCCGTTCGCGGGGCTGGGCGTGCTGCTGGCTTGAAGGTGCTGTACACACTGCCATTCCCATCCACCATCAATCATGGGCCCAATCGCAAGCTCCCAGCGAATGGCGACCCTGAACGCCCGGAGGGCCTGTCACCCTTCCATTCGGGAAAAAGCCTCTTTTCATCACTAGGATCCGCCTGTTAAATTTCAGGCATGTTTCTTTTTGACGAAGTAGTGGGCTCCCTGGGAGGTTCCCCACTGCGACGTTACTTTTGCACAGCTGCTAAGTGTAGGGAAGTGCCCTCATCGAAAGTATGTCGCGTGTAGACCCATCTAGAACACTGTGGCAGGCCCTGATGCAAGGCATGCTTTACTTCGAGTTTTGGTGAAAAAGAGGTGAGGGTTGAGCGTTCGTGCTTTCCGGAGTCTGGAACCTACACGCTGCGGTGCAATTGGCGGAAGGGGCCGATCCAAGCAAGGCCCCTCATGAACGGGAATAGGGTCGTGGTCACTTGCTTCGGCTCCGGGAGGGTGGTGGGGGGAGGGGGGGGGGTGTGGTGAAGGGCCATTGGTGTGTTCGAAACTCCCAGTGCGACGCATGCAAGTCCAAACCTGCCACCACTAGCAGACATCCCGTCTCCGAGATGCAGCGAAGCACATGAAATTCCACCACAAACACCGACATGCCCCCTGCCCCTGGCCCCAAACATTGGGGTTTGCAGGCTTTGGGCTAAGAGTTTGAACTTTAAACCCCTAAACCCTAAACCCTAAACCCTAAACCCTAAACCCTAAACCCTAAACCCTACAGCTCAGAGTCTGCTAGTCCCTCGACTCTCCGTAGCATCTCCAGGAATCCAGGAAGCCGTGGACACCGGCTGCCCGAAGAGGAAGTAGTTTCTCCTTGGGCCTGGAGCCGAGGCTTCGCCAGGGATACTAGCATATGAGCTACTATACTCTCATACCTAGGGTTTAGGGTTTAGGGTTTAGGGTTTAGGGTTTAGGGTTTAGGGTTACTATATTATTATGCTATTAAAAGTATTCTAGTATTATACTATTATACCATTAGACTAGGGGCATCTGGGCTCCTCTTCTGCATGTGGGGGGCATCTGGGCACAGGAGTCTTCGTCTGCCCTAAGCCCTCAACCCGGCCGCACAAAAGCCGTGAGGGTTTAGGGTTTAGGGTTTAGGGTTGAGGGTTGAGGGTTGAGGGTTCAGGGTTCAGGGGGTTCGAAGCTCCTTGTAATCGCGGCGCCGGCACCGGCGGCACGAACACGTCATCCTGCCACAGGTGGTAAGCGCGGTTTAGAGTTCTCTGGTGCAAAGGTGCGAAAAAATTCCTGGGGGAGCTGAAGAGGCTGCGTCCGCAGGCTACTAGAATCCCTAGTCAGCTTGAACCCCCAAAGCCCTAGGTGACAGAAATCCCAGAACTGACGTGTCAAGGAGACAAAGCGCTTATGTTGGCAGTTTCCGTGTTCAATCATTGTTTCCCCACCGGCATCCGCCCTAAATGCAAAAAGCCTTTCTCCCCCGCATCACAATTTCAGCACGATATGCAGGCTGTGGCACGGGAAGCAACGTTGATAGAATACAAGGCATATCTACTTAGAATAAGTATTCTTGCTGTTTTGGATTTAAGATGACTTCAGTATCACGAGCTGAGAAACCCACAATGATGCCATCATTGTCATTACTTAGGCCCCCATATCGTGTGTAGCACACACGAATCCGAAACTTAACGCGCGCTAAACCCTAAATACCGTGGGAACGTTTTGGAGCTGATCTTTTGCTTACGAGCGCAGCATGAGACCTCGACGAAGCTGGGAAGATCTTGGGTCCGATCTCGAAGCCAGTCTCCTGAGCACAGCCAGTCTGACAATCTGCGGCCACACTCTCAACAGCCCCTACTTGGAAGGTTCATGGGTGCTTATAGCCCCAATGTTAAACTGCACTTAGAAGGCCTCTAAGTCGTCTAAGTAGGCTATAAGTAGACTTATGAGTGGGGTTAGACGTACCCAACCTCCAAGCAGCCTCCTGTGATGGCTGGAACCCTGGGGCGAGGTATCACCCTAAACCCTAAAAAACCCTAAACCCTAAACCCCACAAGCCTGTTGCAACAAGGCCCCGAGGGTTCTTGCACTGAGCCTGCGGGCAAGCCCTGCAACTCTATACCATCCGCATCCTGAGCCTGCCTTGTCGTTTAGGGTTTAGGGTTTAGGGTTCAGGGTTCAGGGTTCGGGGTTCAGGGTTCAGGGTTCAGGGTTTAGGGTTTAGGGTTTAGGGTGTAGGGTCCGGGCCGGCGTGTCCCTCGGTACAGGAGACCTTTGGCAGGAACGCCTGTCAGCCCAGACTTGGCGCCATCTAAACCCCTAGCCCTAGTGCTGAGGAGACCCCGCCCGACGCCCGACACCATCCTGCACCCTAAACCCTAAACCCTAAACCCTAAAACCCTAAACCCTACACCCTAACAGCAAACGCATCGTGCGGTAGGTTTATGAGCCCAAAACCCTGCATGTCCACCTCGACCCCAAGTAGCCTTCAACCTTCCGACCTCTCTCTCCGCCCAGCTACCAACCACAGGCAGTTTCAGCAGCTCGCTTGAATCCAGGAGAGTCCCGGCGAAGAACCTGGGCTGAAGCATCACTGCCTTCACGAGGGACCAGGGGTTAGGCCCCACGTCACCTTGCCAAGGTTTATGAAGCGCTGACTAGGGCCTAAGGGACCTCAGGGGTAATGTAGGGGGCTGCTTAGGTATATAGGGATTACATAAGGAGGGTCCAGTCCCTCCTTGTATCCCTCAACCCCCAAAAATGGAAATAAACAATCTTCCACGGCCTGCCTAGTACTAACCGCCCGGTCACAACTTGCGACGCATCCCGAAGGAACCTTCAGGATAAGTGCCCTTTGAGTCATCAGCCTATAAATCCCTATCGATCCTCGAAGCCCTGTAACAAACCCTGCCCCGAAAAACCCAAAACTCAAAACCCTAAACCCTCTCGCCCTTTACCAAAGGGTACCAAGGGACTCATCGCTGCCAATGCCACTGAAAGGTATGATCGTCGCATTCCTCGGGTGCTGAGGGCTTGACGGTGTTAGGGTTCGGGGTTTAGGGTTCAGGGTTTAGGGTTTCGACTCTCACACTGGCAGGGTTTAGGGTTTAGGGTTTATGGTTTAGGGCTGAGGGTGCTTTCCATCCCTCAGTCGCAAACCCCAAACTGTACCTGCGACTTGCTTCATGCTAGGACTGATGAACCATGGCTTCACACTCTGGGTTAAGTATAAGAGCTGTATGAAGATATACTTTATAGGTTTATATGTATGGGTGTAGATATGTATACGTAGACATATCGGTCTTCCTCATAGAACCCCTAACCACCCTTTGAATTCCTGAGACGGCCTTTCAACTTCTAAGGCCTTTTCTATGCAGGAGGTCCCTGCGAATAAACAAGCACCATCACAAAACCGTAAACGCCAAACCCCAAACCATCTTAAACCGCTTGAGTACCCCCTACACCCTAAACCCTAAACCCTTAACCCTAGACATCTCAGGGCAGGCAGCACTTTCGCAGCGATACGGATGAACTCCGGCTGGGGTGGCCAAAAGAGCTGGTACTCTTCACCCTTTCCTTGGGCTGCGGGGCTGTGACTGTGGGGGTTTAGGGTCCCATTTTTAGGTAGTATGAACCCTAAACCCTCTACAACAATTCCGATTAAGGTAGTAATATGAACCCAAGCCCTAAACCATCATTCTCATTCAGGCAAATGAACCCTATAAACCCTTTCAAGGTTCATGCGGACCACCCTCCCGGACGCCGACCCCTAAGATGGCTGCTCGCTAGCCCTAAACCCTAAACCCTAAACCCTAAACCATCAGAGGTCCGAAAGCCCTGATTCCGAAACCCTGTCAACTTCAAAGACTTGAAAACATTACTGAGTTTCTAAACCCTGCACCCTTTTGTCCAACCAGGCCTTTTCTAGATCGCCGGGCACTTCTGCTGAGCTCCAAACCCCCGAACCTAGACCCTAGAAGCGCTCAACCCTAAACACCCTAAACCCTTTTTTTAGAACCCGGTCTGAAAGCCATGCCACTCAACCCTGAACCCTACAGTCTACCCTGTAATGAACCCCTATAGATAAAACCCTCTAAGCCCTTTTCTCCGCGGATCTTTTGAAGACCTCCCGAGCTCCGCCAGGGAAAAGCAGCGCCGCGCCAGCACCTGCGTCAGAATGGGAGGGTTGCGAGTCTTAACTCTTCGTATACTGATTCCTGGTCGGGTTTAGGGTTTAGGGTTCAGGGCTACTGAGCAAAAAGGGGGATGTGGAGGAGATGGCCGACAGCGCAACATCCGAGCTGGGACCCTGGCTTGTCCGGTTGGGCCGCAGGGCCCGAAGCAGGTTCCGGGCACTTGTGGGCATGACCTCAGGGTGGGCAGGCGGTTTGGGGTTTGGGGTTAGCGGGATGCCTCAGCGTGGGTTCTACGGTTTCCGATATGTCTTTGTGCATAGAACCCTACAACCCTAAACCCTAAAAATCCTAAGCCTTCTGGGGGTTATAGAGGGGTTGAGGGTGCCTGCTCAAGCCCTCTAGGTTCGCCCATGGCCCGGCTTGTTCAGGTTCCCTGTACTTGGGCTGAAGGTAGGGTTGAGGGTTTCGGGTTTAGGAGAAGGGACATGGAATCCCAGGATGGCCTCCACGTGCCTGCCTGTTGAACGTTCGGCATTGACAGTGCGCATCTGCAGGAACAGCTGGTTCTCCAGCGCGTAAACGGTCTACCCAGGCACCCAGGACCTATGTCCAGAACCTCCAGCTTGTGATGCCTGAAGTAAACCCTTTTTTCCAAACCCCTGACTGCAAAAACCCTTTTGACCCCGCGCGCTCTCCAAAACCCTAAACCCTAAACCCCACACCCTAAACCGTAACGCGCCTTGAACTTCTCGAAGAGCTGTCGGGAGCCAGGGAAGGGATACGGCAGCGGAGCAAGAGGGGACACTTCCTTTGTTCACATCCAAGTGGGATTCTTCAAGGGGGTATAAAGGAGGGACCCCTAGAAGGGACCCTCAATCTTACATAACCCATATGTATATACACGTACATATAAACTCTATATATATGTATATACAGAGACCATATATAGCCCTTATATACCTAAGTAGCCCCTAAATCATCCCTAAAGACCTCCTAAGGTTTTAGTCCCTTGAATTCTGGGCTTGGGGGTTTCGGGCTTAGGGTCCATGAGGACTCGGGGTTTAGGGTTTAGGGTCCCGCCTCCTATAGAGGGTGGGTTTGGGTTCGTGCGTAGGGTCGAAGAGGATGCTAGGTTTGGGGTGGAGCGTCGCTGAAACGGAAATAACGCATGCTGCATTTCGAAGGCGCTCCACCCAAAGCGCCCTCTACCCTGTAGCCCTAAACCCCTGCGGGAGCAGAAACAGTGGTGACGCTGTGCCCTAAACCTTGCTATCAAAAATCCAGGATCCAGGCCTGCGTAGCTAGAATAGGGGCGTGTGCATGCAAGTGTATAGGCTAGACTATGAGGAGAAGATTGGCACCTACATGTACACCCCTGATTTACATGCCCTCTTGAAGATGTGCGGCATCTTTCTTGCTCCATGCTCCCACGTATTTGGGGCTACCACATATTGCTTCCGGGCTGTTGCAGTAGCCCGGCTTCACAGCTGGGCCTACCACATTAACCCGGGATCATAAACCCCAAATTTCCATCCCCACTAGGAATATTGACCTTAACCCTCAAAGCCTCTTAAGGCATATGGACCACAAACCCTAAACTCTCAACCCTGAACTCATTTAGTCCCTTAGGGCCCCGGTGTAAGCAGCCAAGAGGCGTCTAGCAATGGCGGATACACCATGGCGGTGATCAGCCTTTGGCACGCCACATAGCTCTTGGCAGGGAGTTTAGGGTTTTAGGCCGAAGTTCCTTGGCTCTGGCGGCAAATATGAAGGAACGCACCCCGAAAGATCACGACTTGCGAGGATCGGTGAGGGGAGAAACGGGGTTTCGTGGCCCGGGCTTCGGAGAAGCTCGGCTTCCTTGTGCGCACGATCATGTTTTCTGTGGGCTTCGCAGCCGGGCTGAGTTCGGAGTTCTCTAGCCCTGCACCCTGACACCTCTGATGTAAAGCTACAGCTTGAAACATAGCACAATAATACCCATCTTAAAAAACACACAACAAGTAAAGCTTCCACCTGACAGCACCAGTCGAGCTGCCGCCGCTGCTCCCGAAGGAACTCTTCGATAACGAAGATTCCATCCAGGCTGAACCTGTGCTGTGAACCCTAAGCCCCAAACCCCAAACCCCAAACCCCAAACCCCAAACCCTAAACCCTAAACCCTAAACTACTATTTGCTGAGGCCCCCAAAAAAACATATATTCTTCCCGAACAGGGCAATCTGCGGATTCATTTCTTTTACTCTTGGGGAGGGGTTCTTAAGTAAACAACCCCAAAACCTCGTTTCATCCAGCGCAGATCTTGACCTGACCCCTGTGGAAACATGGGCGCAGCTCTCAAAACATGGTGGCTGTCCCTGCCATCACACGCTAGGGTCTGGTTTAGGGTTTAGGGTTTAGGGTTTAGGGTTTAGGGTTTAGGGTTTAGGGTTTAGGGTTTAGGGTTTAGGGTTTAGGGTTTAGGGTTTAGGGTTTAGGGTTTAGGGTTTAGGGACCGCAAAAAAGGGGCATTGTAAGTTCGAGGGCCATGCGTGCTCTCAGCGTGCTTCCTTCGGTCTGTTTATGAGGGGGGGTGCTAGGGTTTAGGGTTTAGGGTTTAGGGTTTTTAGGGTTTATAGGGTTTATAGGGTTTATAGGGTTTAGGGTTTGGGGTTTACGGCTTAGGGCTCAAGGATTTGAATTGGTTGGGATCTTAGTGACAGGTGTCGTCTTCCACTTTTCGAAGACAATCCCAAGGAGTGTGTTGCGGGTTGACCGGAAGCATCAGCCTCTTCCGAGGAGCCTTGACAAAAAACCCAGGATTTGTGCGTCTTTTGCAGAATCGCCGGCCTGTCTAAGTGCATTGCAAGGGTTTAGGGTTTAGGATTTGGGGTTTAGGGTTCAGGGCAATTTGCAGGTCTCCGCCATGTCTATCCACAGCCCAGGGACACGATCCGACCGTCCAGGACACGGCTGCTTAGCATCTCAATAAGTTGCTCATCATAAGGAACACAATGGTAGTTCTCCAAAATCATGTCCCTTTGGCCTTTGGGGGTGCTTATGATTCGTGCCATTAGAATTAGAAGTACTATTTTCTTGTGCTAGTATTATTGATATTATGATTACGATTACGATGGCTATTCTGGTGCTATACTATTTAGGGGTCTAGGGCTTCTATGGCTCTTGAACCCTGCTTCTATAGGTCTCTTCCCAATCCCTAAGCCCTAAACCCCAAACCCTAAACCCTTAAACCCCTAAACCCTAAACCCCTAACCCCTAAACCCTAAACCCTGAACCCTCTGGAACCACGAGTTCTTAGAACCGAGCCACAGCTGGTGGTTTCCGACAAAGAGGACCGGGGCCCCTTGCGCAGGAGGCGGCGCCAGCCGTGGGAGCCCTGTCAGAAGGCAGAAGCTCTTAGGGCAAAAAAATGGGCCCTGAACTGGGGAACCCTTATGTACCCCTAAACCCTAAACCCTAAACCCTAAACCCTAAACCCTGTACCCCTAAACCCTAAACCCTAAACCCTAAGCCCGAAAATGCCCGTTATATATAGACGCCAAGAGGTGAACTGAACGTAGCTCCTCAGCGAGTTTCTTTTGGAAAGCTCTCATTGCTGGTGGGTTTATGTTTTGGGGCTAAGGGGTTTAGGGTTTAGGATTCAGGGTGAGGTTAAGGGTTAAGTAGGGTTAAGGGTTAAGGGTTTCAGGCCTGAGTTGTGGGCAACAGCTCTAGCAGTAATACGGTATGGCTCGATAGCCTGCCCCGGTACCTGTTGGGTGGATCTCCATTCTACTATACCCTGGATTCCCAAATCCCGCAAAAAACACACCGGTCCGCGTCCTACGTCTCTTTGCTCGCCTCCACACCTAAGCAGCCCTCCCCCTGCCAACGCCATTGAATGGGAGAAAATACTAAGGGCAAGGCCATCTACAGTGAGAGACAAGATCCGTGTCGCCTCGCGCAATGCGACCCCCAGGCAGCACGGACAGGAACACTGGCGACACCCACGTCTTCGCCTGCCAGAGCTGGCAAAGGGCAAAACAGATGATTGAGGGTTTAGGGTTTAGGGTTTAGGGTTTATGGTTTAGGGTTTATGGTTTAGGGTTTAGGGTTTAGGGTTCAGGGATCTCTTACTGCAAGCCAGAGCCCCCATAAACCAGCAGAGCCCGTGCCAAGGGCTTGCAAAATATGCATATATGATCATATATGGAACCCTGCAGAAGTCTGTATGGAAGTGGCAGAACATAGCAGGGGCTTACCAAAAAAAAATTGGTCCCACATGGGCGAGCGCCTCAAGACTTGGACATCATCAAAGATCCATTTCAGCACCTGCAATCAAGCCCCCAACGCTGTAGGGTCATGCCCTATGTGCTCCACCCAAAATGAGAGTGCATGGAACCGTATCCACCCTGCATCCACGGAGGGGTTCCAAACCCTAAAAACGCGAAAAACCCGAAAAACGCAAAACAACGCCTGAAAAACCCTAGACCTCAAAAACCCTAAACCCGAAAACCCTAAAAACTAAGAACCCTAAACCCTACAAGTCCTAGGCCCTGTAGATGGGATGTCGCTGCTTAGAGCAGACGGTGGCCTAACTGGGGTCTCAGCCATGCGCTCTGTGGGAGTTTCCGGCATCAGGCGAGGAAGCACTCATCCGACCCCTACCACATGCTCCGCCAGCTTCATGCCAGTACATGAGGTCGGTATCCCCAAACCCTAAACCCCCCAAAACCCCAAACCCCAAATCCTGCACCCTAAAGCCCTGAACCCTAAAAACCCCAAAAATCCCTGCAGCAAGGAAGCCGCACCTAAACCCTAAACCCTAAACCCCTAAACCCCTAAACCCCTAAACCCCTAAACCCCTAAACCCCTAAACCCCTAAGCCCCTAAGCCCCTAAACCCCTAAACCCTAAGCACCTGCAAAAGCGACGCGTCCAGCCAGCTTTCTGGCTCGAGCCGCAGCTCCGCAGGGTCGGCCTGAGGAAGCTCCAAGGCTTGGATTTAGGGTTTAGGGTTTAGGGTTTAGGGTTTAGGGTTTAGGGTTTAGGGTTTAGGGTTTAGGGTTTAGGGTTTAGGGTTTAGGGTTTAGGGTTTAGGATTTTGGGGTTCAGGGTTCAGGGTTCAGGGTTCGTCAGGGTTCAGGGTTCAGGGTTCAGGGTTCAGGGTTCAGGGTTTAGGGTTTAGGGTTTAGGTGGCACTGCGCATGGAGAAAAAATGTAGGCAGGCGCACGTGCCACGAAGTAAAAACGGCAAAAAAACACTCTGTTCGCCAAACCGGCCAAGCCGCCTTGGTCAAGGACTGCAGAATGCCAGCGTCCGTCAGCAGCGATAGCAAGTTGACACTCGCCGTGTCATCGAAGCATGCATGGGGCCCGCCAGGGATGATCTTGCGCTGGGCGCCTTCAGTCAAGGAAACAATCTTCGGGAGGGGGAGGGTTTAGGGTTTAGGGTTTAGGGTTTAGGGTTTAGGGTTTAGGGTTTAGGGTTTAGGGTTTAGGGTTTAGGGTTTAGGGTTTAGGAGCTCTGATGAGCCTCAACATGTCAATGTCAAGCTTCCAGCAAGCTTAGGAAGCCCACCCCCACACCTTGATGTTTAACCTTATAAGCCCTTTTTCAACTGCAGCCCAGATGGCGCAAGACGATAGTTCATGAGATTTAGGGCAGCCATGATTTTTGGAATGTTTCATGAGACAACAGAAGCAGCAAAAAAGGCTGTAGGGTTGGTAGGGTTTAGGGATTTGGGGGTTTGGAGTTCTATCGTTTAGATAATACAAGGACAGCAATTCAATGAGCTCTTTAGCGGATCAGAATAGCTTGCTCGCCGTTTTTTGGGCGCCTGTGTTCTATGTTGAGTGTGCTAAATCCAACACCCAATCTCTGGCCTTCTTCATTTAACTATAGAAACTTCAATGCAAACAAGCCCAAACCCTAAAAGCTTCGATGCTTACCCTAAACCCTAAACCCTAAACCCTAAACCCTAAACCCTAAACCCTAAACCCTAAACCCCTAAATCCTTTAGCTGCCCAGCTGCCTGGCAGCAACTTCAGCAACCTCTCCGTCTCTGCCACGGAGGGCAGCACGGCATCTGCATCGCCGGCCTCTTTGAGCCGTCCGCGGTGTATGGATTGCAGATTCAAGGGTTGGAGTTTGGGGTTTGGGGTTTGGGGTTTAGGGTCTAGGGTCTAGGGTCTAAGGTCTAGGGTTTAGGGTTTAGGGTCTAGGGTTTAGGGTTTAGGGTTTACGGACGCCATAGGGAAACCTTGTTCAGACTTCTCTGATGTCAACGGTTTCGGGGTGTTTGGAGAACTTGCCGGGCTATCAGGATGGGAATGTCTCGGCGCAGTCGAGCTCACAATCAAACGATGCCATACGATGCCCCTCTGCCCTGAACCCTCCAGCGTCAAAACGGGCTTTCAAAGGAGACCCAAACTCCTGAAAGGAACCTGCAGGTCCAATCCTGCACAGTCCCCTTTTCCGGCGATTCTCTCAACCTCGTTGCCCCCCCCCCCCCCCCCCCAAGAAAAACAAAACAACTCTAAATCCCACCCCCCAACCCCTCCCCAAATAAAACAGAAAAACCCAAAACCCGAAACCCCAAAACCCCAAAACCCTAAACCTAATCCAGGTCCGAGGCTCCACGAGAAGCGTCTGCTTGAGCCAAGTGGGCGCGGAGAGCCGCAGCTCCAACCTCTACCCCCAAAGGTTTGAGGGTTTAGGACCTTTTTGCATCCGGGCTCTAGCATTTGGACCTAAACCCTGAACCCTAAACCCTAAAATCTAAACTCTCACGACGAGGGCACGCGCTCGCAAGGCTCTAGATGTCTCTCGTTAACAAAGACAGGGTTTACGGCTTAGGGATCCCAAAATTTTTATGCTGGATGCAATTGCATATAGATGATACTCTGGAACAATGAAATGCCGGAGGTGGTAATGATTCTGGCCGAATGGGAAGCGGCAACAAAACGAATCTTGTTCTTTCACCGAAAACATGACTCAACTCAAGAAGGTCAACTCAATCATGAGCAACCCTAAACCCTAAACCCATTTGAGCCCCGCTGAGCTCCAAGACGTGTCCGTGACTGCAAGCCATCACAAGCTTTGCCCCGCAACAACAACCTCCAATATCCCCTTCTCTTCAGGTGACGAAACTTGGCTGCACTTAGGAGGGTAGTAAAAAACTATATAAACTTCTAGCTGCCTTATTAAGAAACCCAATAAACCCAAAAAAGCTAAAGATCTAACGTTACAGTAAAGCACCACAAAGGAAAGCTACCAGCACACCAAAGTCCCCAAGGGGGGGAGACAGGCGAAGCGTAGCGACTGAACGTTCAGGAGCCGACCCAAGCTTCAAGCATCTGCCTGCTATTCTTGATCCATGCGAGCCAGGCGATGTTCTCGGCGCTGTCTGTTTGAGCTAAACCCTAAACCCTAACCCTAAACCCCAAACCCTAAACCCTAAACCCCAAACCCCAAACCCTAAACCCTAAACCCTAGGTCATGGAAAGAGCCTTACTCAGAGGCCAAGCTGCAGCAGGGGCTCCAGCCGGCGTACGCCCTCTCCTTCGATAGCAACAGTCCACACGCTCCCTCTGGAGCCGAGGGGGGCTTATAGGGCTTTGGTTTAGGGTTTAGGGTTTAGGGTTTAGGGTTTAGGGTTTAGGGTTTAGGGTTTAGGGTTTTGGGGTTTAGGGTGTGGGGTTTGTACGGTTTGTACGGTTCGTACGGTTTGTACGGTTTGTACGGTTTGTACGGTTTTGTTGGCACCCGCATAGCTGGACGGTTTAGGGTTTAGGGTTGATGGCTTGGGTTGGGTTTGTAGGGTCTATCGGTTTTACAGGGTCTGTCGGATTTTTTGAGATTTGTGTAGGGTTTTGTGCAATTAGGGTGTTATGAGCGTTTGTCGGGTTCTATAGGGTTTGACAGGGTTTCGTAGGGTTTTGCAGGTTTCTAGGGTTGCAGAGGGTTTATCGTGTTTTGTCGGGTCCTTTCAGGTTTATAGGGCTTTTTGGGTTTAGAAGGTTTCGTAGGGTGTATGGGGTCTCGCAATGTTTCCAGGGGTTATAGCGTTTATAGTTTGCAGGATTTATAAGTGCAACCCTAGCACCCTCGAGACCTTTCAGCCCCATAGCATACACCTAAATCCGCCCTGAGGCCCAAGAAGCTCGAAGCCTTCTCTAAACCCTTTAGACGCCAAACCCCTAAACCCGAAACCCCCCAATAAGCTGCGTAAGTGAGAGGAGGGTCGCAGGTACGATGACTCGCGGAACTGGAGCGTGTCGGGAGGGAGGACCTTGCTAAGGCCACCTTCGACGAGGAAGTGATCGGGTTCGGGGATTTGGGCGTTTCTTCCGGGCGTTGGGATTTCTACGAGCTTGAAGGAAACAACCGCCCAAACCCAAATAATCCCATATGCACCTTTCCTATTAACCCCCCACAAAAAAAGATGAAAAGGTTCCTCCCAAGTCGTTGGCTCAGTGCCGAGGCACGGCTTATCCGCAACAGCTCTGCGAAAGGGCCCTGCCCGCCGGTCCTAATGTCGAGCGCACGGACAGGCTACTGATAACCGAGAGAGTTCCTTATGATTCACAGCTCTATGCCCTTTCACTTCCAAATAAGAATCACTATTTATAAGGAATAGAGAGTCTGAAATATCTGCGGCTTCTCACATCTCCCCCACACACACATGGCGGATTTCGATGTGGTCTAGGGTTTAGGGTTTAGGGTTTAGGGTTTAGGGTTTAGGGTTTAGGGGCATCAGAACCCTAAACCCCAAGGCCTGGGACCTTGGTGGCTTATATACTCCAGGTCTGCCCCCGGAGAGCCAAACGCCCCGCAAGAACGGAAAAATCGACCTTCAATTCGGCGGCCTGATATTACGGAAAAGAATGCTTTGGGAAAAGACTTTAAAAAGACTTTAGGACATTCCCTAATCAGGGAGCATATGTAATATACAGGGGGGCCTTGTATCAAGAAATAGCTAATCGTCCATAAATGAAGGAGAAAAGCCTTTGCCTATGTGGGGCTTCTTTGTAGAATGAGTATATACCGTAATCATTCTACAGATACTCTAAGAAATGCAGGATATTTATATTCAAGAGGAACCCCTGCAGGAGTTCAGCAAGGAGCCTTCTTGAATACAACGAAAGTTCTTGTTGCACGCAACAGGTGACATGCCGAACGCCTTTACCAATGGGACGAATGTCGCAGAATCTTCTTGAACGACTTGGTCATACCAGCCCAGCTTGCCAAAGAGGGGCGTGACTACCTCAGCGACAAGCAAGAAAGATGCAATACATGAATTCCATGCTCATCTGTTGTCTTCTTCCCTAAACCCTCTTTGAAGCTGGACTTGCTGACTGTCCCTGTAAACCCTAAGCGTCTCTGGCTTGGGGAGGCTAATATCCCAGATCTGTGCGCCCCCCATGTCTGACTGCACATGACTCACAGGACCCAAACCCATACCGTCCGTAAATACTACCTACTTTGGGCTATTTGGAGCCTTAGGGTAAAACCTTGTTCAATCAGGAGATCTCTGACATGCTTGGACCACACGCAACCCTTCTTCCCCTTTTTGCTGCCTAGCCCTGAGGCCTTGTTTGCAACTGGGCGAGCCAAAACCCTAAACCATACCCGGGAGGCAGCACCAACGAAGCGACGCGGGGGATTTAGGGTTTAGGGTTTAGGGTTTAGGATTTAGGGTTTAGGGTTTAGGGTTTAGGGTTTAGGGTGTCGGGTCAAGCAACCGCAGGCAGCGACGAGTACAGCTGCTCGGGGAGGCGCGGCAGCACTGGAGCCACCAGTGAGAGCGCGCTTCCTGACGTGTGGGTGGGTTAGGGTTTAGGGTTTAGGGTTTAAGGTTTAGGGTTCAGGGTTCAGGGTTCAGGGTTCAGGGTTCAGGGTTTAGGGTTAGCGAATTTCGGGGTCCTGGTTTTGTTTTGCTACCCTACTACAAAAAATAGGAAATGCATATGTAAGATACTTGAAGTCGAACACGTCCCAGATTCGGATGGTCTCTTTGGCAATAGTCTATGCACAACAGTTTTCGATAGCAGTAGAAACCCCAAGGAAGGCAAGGGTCCCTCATGCGGCCTTTCTGGTGCCGCGCTATAAGGGACGCCGGAACCCTAAAGCCTAAACCCTAAAACCCTGAACCCGCCTCTAAGGTTAAACCAGCAGCCCTGAGTATGGCCCCGTAGCCTTGTTTATAGGGATCCGAAGTATGGGCCCTGATTCTATATCATTCTAAATAGTGTATAGCAGCAAAGCAGAGACCTAAATTAAAGGACCATGCTTGGAACCCTGGAGACTCCAACTTGAGAAGGTAAATAGGTTTAGGGTTTCGACTCTCACGCTCGATCCACAGCAAATGTCTGGAAGAACAAACGTCTCTTTTGAAGCTGGAATTTCCAACGGAGTACAAGGGTTGTGTACGGTAGTCATTCGGATTCAGGAAATTCAGTGTACCAGGATGCAAAACAACTCTATTCGTCTAACCCTAAACCCTAAACCCTAAACCCTAAACCCTAAACCCTAAACCCACCCAACTAAGCCTAAACCTTAACGATCAGACCTCACCTTAACCCTTCACCAAAACCCCAAACCCTCCTCAACTTAATGCCCTGAAGGCTTAGACAGCTTTTGAGTCAAGGAGCTACGGTAGCTCGTAGCTGGGTTCAGCAAGCAAAGCGCCTCTTCTGCTTGTCACATGCCATCTCAATGGGCTTGGGTTGCGGGGGGGGGGGGGTTTTAGGAGGTTATTTGGGGGGGGGGGGGGGGGAGGGGGTTCGGGGGTTTAGGGGGGTCTTGGCCGGTTTAGGGGGTTTCGAGGCTTTTTGTTCCCCCGCCCTGAGGTTTAGGGGACAGCGCGTGAAGTTCATCGTGTCAGGGCGTCACACGGTGTATCTGTGATTATCTTACTTGGCCACGCAAGGCCATCACTCCTAGCAGGTCCCCTTACTCAGGGTCAAGCTGCGCGCGGCCATCATCACCAGTAAGTGCGCGGCCCCCTAAATCCAGGATACCCAAGCGCGGGCATGAGTTCAGAGGTGGACATGAATATCTGTAACACAAAGGGTCCATGCACCTGGAAAAGAAAACTTAGGCCCTGAGGGGATTCCTAAAACAGCTTTAGGGCCGAACTGTATAATGTATGGGTACATGGACCCTTTAGGGTAAGGACACAGACGAGGAGCCTGAGGCAGGTTGGGCCGCTTCACCGCCAAGCTCAGCGCGACGACCGCGCCGAGCGACTCGGCTACCAGGAGGACCGGCCTGGCGCCGAGGACCAGCTCCGAGGCGTGCCGCCCCCAAAATTTCACAAGTTCCGGCTGCAACCCTGAGCATGACTAGCACGAGTTGCTGGTTGCCTCTTTGTGATTCTTGTGCTTGCGTGTGTGATTCTTCAACCAACCACTGTGGTGCATTACGTAATCTTTTCGAACTCCTCAATACTACGGCAAGCTGAGAAAGCCGGGGCAAGGCCAGGACCACCCCTGCATCATGGCACTCTTTTCCTTTCACGGATGAGGCTGGCAGGCAAGGCCCGTTTGCCCGGAGTCTGGGGGTCTAGCCTCTTTCGGCTGCGCTTCGAGGAAGCGGAATTCTTTGCAAGCACAAGAATGGCACGCGAACATCGGCACCAATGCCGAACCCCCCCCCCCTGCTTGTCCCCGGACAAGGCTTCGTGGGGCGCGTGACGTGCAGCCTGGCGGCACCAAAAATTGCAGTAGCTTCTCAGAAATGCCAAGAGGCTACCTAAACCCTAAACCCTAAACCCTAAACCCTAAACCCCAAACCCTAAACCCTAAAGGCTGCTTGAAGGCCTCGGCCGTTCTACTAAACGAGCCTGAGAAGGGGGGCTTTCCGAAATTACGGGTACGTACGATTTTGGGACTCTCTTTGGGTCCCTTTTTTTCGTAAACCCTGACATTAGGGGTACCTTCTTGGGGTCCTTCTTAGAAGGGATTCCTACTATTTTGGGACTCTATTTGGGGTCCCTTCTTTTGTCGTAAACCCTGAGAATGTCTGGGAGGCTACCGTCGGCCAGCAAAGAGGGCCAGCCTGACAATTCGGAAGACAAAAGGGCCGTGCCTGATGCTGGGAAGCGGCGGAGTTCAAGATAACGGCTCATGTGAGAGTTGGGGGCTGCCATCATCCACCGAATGCCCTGCTTCAGGACGGATGCTGTACACAACAAAAATGCGGAAGATATGGGGGGGTTTCCGAACTTAGGGGGTACCTTATTGGGGTCCCAAGAATGAGGGGATCCTACTATTTGGGGATCTTTGTCGGGTGCCTCCTGTTTTCGCAAGCCCCCATCTGAGCTATTCATAGCAGAGCTGTGCCAAGACGCACCGCCCGCTCCAAAAATCTTCCCGCTAGCGTCCAAGCACCGTGCTGGGACATGACTTTTTGAACCCGTGCTGAGGCCGAGGCATGTGACGGGAAGGCATACACTGGCGCTCTCCGAGCGCCCAAGCCAACCCAGAAACAAGACAGTCAAACCCTAAAGACCCTAAATCCAAAACCCTAAAAACCCTAAACCCTAAACCCTAGACCCTAAATCTGTCTTCAGCTCAGCCTCTCCACGATCTCCACGTACTCCTGCCAGGAGCAGATGTCCCAGAAGGGTTTCCCGCTGGTCTCCCTGGTCCACTTCCTTGGTTTAGGGTTTAGAGTTTAGGGTTTAGGGTTTAGGGTTTAGGGTTTAGGGTTTAGGGTTTAGGGGGCAGAAAGGGCCACTGCGCCGCATGGGGGGGTTTACGATATTCTGGGTACCATATTGGGGTTCTTCTTACAAGGGGATCCTACTACTTGGGGGTCTATACCCTAAACCCTAAACCCTAAACCCTAAACCCTAAACCCTAAACCCTAAACCCTAAACCCTAAACCCTATATTCGTAAACCGCCATATTCGGGGTCCCCTAAATTCGTAAACCCCCAGACATAGCCCGAAGCGACGCAAACCGAAACCTCCTTGGCCTCTGCACTCAAGGTGTGGAAGAGAGCACTTGGAGGCCCATAGGTACTTCTAAGTAAAGCTAGAACTCTTCAGGGTTTAGGGTTTAGGGTTTAGGGTTTAGGGTTTAGGGTTTAGGGTTTAGGGTTTGGGGTTTAGGGTAACTAGGGATATAGCCTGATTTAGGGCACTTCTTTACCCTACAGCCATGAGCCTTCAAGCAGGGTCTCACATGGGCTCTCATACCCTAAACCCTAAACCCTAAACCCTAAACCCTAAACCCTAAACCCTAAACCCTAAACCCTAAACCTAAACCCTAAACCCTAAACCCTTAAGCCGTGGGGCCGATGCAAGGCGTGGCACATGAAGATGGCGGTCTTGATGTCCTCAGCTGCCGAGTTCATCAGCCCCCAAACGAAGTGTACACTTTCAGATCTTATAGGGGATTCTGGTATCCCAAAGAGTGCAAAAGTGCCCTAAACCCTAAATCCTAGACCCTAAACCCCTAAACCCTAAACCCCTAAACCCCTACACCCCTACACCCCCAAACCCCTAAACTCCTAAACCCCTAAACAGTGTAAAGCGTTCTCACTCAGCGGCTAAGTGTCGGTGATCAGTGAGGTGCCTGCGTCCACGGCGCCCCGGCGGATCCTGAAGCCGTCGGTGAGGGCGTCCGAGTCCATGGAGTCGGGCACGTTGATGACCTGCTAGGGTTTAGGGTATATAGTGTTTAGGGTTTAGGGTTTTAGGGTCAGGCAGAACAACACGCAGGCAGACACCAACAAAGACCGAGGCTTACCGAAGTTCAAGAAGCCATGGAGGCATGCCAAATGAGCAAGGGAGCACAGCGACATGGAGATATGGCAATTTAGTACTGCAGCAATGTAGCCGTATAGCCGTATGGCAACATAGTAAATTGCAATATGCTAATAATGCAGTCGTACTAGTCATAATAGCAATAATAGCAATCATAGCAATAATAGCAAACATAGTATCAGTAGTAAGAACCAATAGATTCTATGTTTAAGCTATAGTAAGATAGTAAGATAGTAAGATAGTAAGATAGTAAGATAGTAAGATAGTAAGATGTGAAGTCGACCAGCACTGGACTTGCACTAAGCCAATGCAATCACAGCCCGGTCACGCTGTTTTACGACTTCGCGAGTCCAAGCACTTGTGCAGCTACGCCTGAGTGCGTCCGGTCGGACCGCACAGCAACCTAGGAGCTACTGTACGACTCTACCGTGCTCAAAGGCACAAGCTCGGTACTTGAGCCAAAACATTGGCATTGTTACGAATTGCAAAACTACACATGCAAGGGAAAACAACAAGCTGCACTAGCACTAAGCAAGCACTCCATGCATGCTTTGACCTGCTCACATTCGCCCCTCAGCCGAGGCTTCCGGCTCACCAAGAGCTCATAGTGCATCAAGCACTTCAGCAATGCGGCAAATGGGGTAGGGTGAGGGTGTCGCGTGCGACTCTGGTAGAGCCCGCACATCAAGAGCATTGGCATGCGGCTTGGGCGGCAGCCCGCACTACCGGACGAACGCACGACGACAGCAACCCTTCACGACCCTAAACCACCCCAAGTCGCGAGCTCTCACCTTTGTGCAGACAGGCGAGGCTCCAGAGTACTGGGCAGGTCTTTGTGCTGCTAGTGCAAAGCTATGGTACAAATGGTACACTGTACACTACCGGTCCTAAGCTACGGCTACGGCTACTCACCTATCCGGAACTACCCTACGGGCTACCAGACTCAGCGAGAGCCGCGCACATGGCTTGTGCCGCAGGCAATGCAACTCACACGCGCTTCGGCGAGCGCATTGCCGCGACCAGGACACGGTCCGCAGCACCTGCAAAAGAGCACCCTCAGCACGAGGGGCCACAGGCAGGGCGGAGGAGAAAGGTGCGGGGAATGCAAAATGGGCAGGTTTCCAACCTGCCGCGGCTTTTTCGCCCGCAGTCAAGCAAAAGAAAATGCAAAAGGTTGGCGAAGCAACGTGCCGTGCTGCAACGCCTGCTCTGATAATGCGTGGATGCTTACCACGCCGCGCCGACTGGCCGCAGCCTACTCGATACCCTGTGGAGCAGTGTTGGGGGCACGAGTGGCGTTGCCAGCAACGTTGGAGCTACTGGCTCGCTCCAACTGAGGGCGCCTTGCGACCGCCTCATCGAGGGAGAATGCCTCAGCCGACACTCTCTGGAAATCCTCAATGTAGGACTGCGCGACCGGGTGCGTCTTGGGGACCTCAAGCCTAAGCCCTGCCTCCGCATTGGCTTTGCTGCTTGTGGTAAAATTGAGGCTCCCAATCAGCACCACCGCGCCATCAGGCCGCAGTAGGCAAAGGGCCTTGGCATGGTGAAGCCCTTGGATCCGGTACCTACTTTAGCCCCGCGGCCGTCGCGAGCATAGGCGTCGCGCACGGATGTGCCGCAACCCACCTTCACCTCGGCGCCTGCAGCCGCCAAGCGTTTCAACGCTTGCCACTGCAGTTTGGTGCGGTGGCATTGTCCCATGTCGGCGACAATCCGAACGCCTGCGCCCTTGCTAAGCGACGCTTCGATTGCCTCGATGCAGGATGGGCAATCTAAGCTGTACGCCCGGATGTAGATCACATCCTCTGCTGCTCCAGACCCAAGCAGCGTTTGGGCGGCCTGAACGTATGGCCCGCCCGCAAGGAATTCCGCTTCTTTGACTGGAGAACTCCTAGCGGGGGCTGGGCCCTTGTTCCTCCGGCTGGGTGTGCGCGCCACAGTGGCAGTGGCGGCACGTTGCACGAAGCCGGACTGTGCGTGGGCTGCGCTCGCTCCATCTGCTGGGGCCGCGGCCAGGTCACGACCCGCGAGCCCCTGAAAGCAGGAGAGCCCGCGGCTCTTGGCCGCAAGTTGGGAGAAACATCCTTCACTGTTCCCCAAACCCAACACAACCTTACCCTTAGCCAGGGCTTCGGAGGCGGTACTCCGAATGGAGTCTGTGAGCGCAGGACCCGCGCCTCGCTGGGCCGCGTGCAAAAACCCTAGGGATCGAGCGGTGTCCATTGCGGCATCGCAATGCCCGCAACGTCCCTCTGCCAGGTAAGCACGACAGCCACAGGCAGCTGTCTCCTCCTTGAGGTGCACCCAAACTTTATGGGTCACCCCTTTCTTAGTGCTCGCGACCTCAAACGTCGCTTCAGAGCCAAGGAGTTGAGACAGCCGCGCCTCAGGGGCCGCGGTGTTGCCATGTCGCATATGCGCAATGCGATTGGCAACGGCACGACTCACGTACCACAGAACAGCGCCGCGCAAGATCACTACTACCAGAGTGATGGCTGTTCCGGCGACCCACACGGTCCGCCTGGCCCCATGACCGATTTCCTCGACAACGTCGGCCGAAATCGTTGCAACCGCGTGCATGGAGTCCTCGACAACATGCACAACCCCGCGGTGCAACTGCAAGGCAACCGGCGCCGACGCTGCAGCCGCCAGGCCCCACCAGCCGTTGATGTTCCCGTTGAGGGCGTGCATCAACCGATTGAGGAGCCCGCGACCCAGGAAAAAGGGGGTCCGCGGCGGAAGCGGAACACTTGGCGGCGGCCGGGCAGACCCGCACGGGAAGGCTGGGACCCAGCTTGTGCTCGGGCGGGGTTGGAGCGCGGCAACAATGCCCGCGGCGTAAGCGCCCCAGGCGTACCTGCCCCTCCCCTTGGGCTTGCCCTTGGCATCGGACTTGCCTCTGCCCTTCGGCTTGCCCTGGCCCTTGCCACGGGCGTCTGCCCAAGCACTCCAAGGGTCGCGGCCCTTGCCGTACGTCGCCTCTTCGCGACGTCGCTTGCCGCCCCTCTTCTTGTGTTTGTTTCTAAGAAGAGGTTGGATGGTTTCTTGGTCCATCGCACGATTGGCCAGAAGGATCTCGTACTCCAGCTCGTCCTGGCTGCTTTCGGAGCCCGAGTCCCTCTCTTCGCCACGCCGCGGATCAGGGATCCCGCGAGAGACGACCTCTGCCAAACGGAGAGGGGTGCTGCAGCGAAAGCACAGCTGCCTGAATGAAAGGTTCCATTCATAGCAGTTAGGGCACTGCCACCCTGCTATGCGGAGCGCCTCGCTGATGTGATCATCGCGCTCCGCCTTCTCCGCCTGGCGCCGCTCTCGCTTCTTGGCGCGCTCGGCCGCCTGCGCCTCCTCGGCCGCCTGGAGGGCTTCAGCGAGTTCCTCATCGCTGAGAAGCCTCGCGGCATCCGCCCGCGCTTGTTGTTCTTCAAGCTCTTCGGCAGAAAACCTCCGCCTCCACTGCTCTGGCGCGGTTTGAGGATCTACCTCCCACCACCCGATGTCGATCCCGTTGATCCACCGGCCGTCGCACGGGGCACCCGCATTCGGGCCGCCCGCGTGCGTGGTGAGGCACTGGTCCTCGGTAACCGGGTTAATGGCTTCGCAGAAGAAGCACCGCCAGCTGCCGTAGGGGTAAAAGCGGCCTTCGACATAGGCTCGGTTGGCAGGGAGGGCGACATCGTCTCATCCGCGGTGCCTGCCTCCATCTCAACCGAGACCTCCTCGTCCTTGACAACCTCAGCTTCCTCCTCCTGTTCCTCCTTGACCAGGGGCTCTTTCTGCTCCCGGCCAACGTTGAGGTGGGACTCAGTGCGAACCTCGGCGCGCATCAAAATGACGTCAAGGCTGTCCGCGGCTGGGTCGCCCGCGAAGAAGGAATCGATCTCCTGGGCATGGAGATCGTCAAGAGGCGTCACCAGGTCTGGCGAGTAATCCCGCTGGGAACGACGCTCTGCAAGGCGTTGCTGAACGTCGCTCGTCGGCGGCTCGAGGGCCCGCCCGCGCGGAGCGGCCTCCCGCGGAGGTCCCGGCTCGGCCTCCTCCGTGGGCTCGCTCTTGGGCGTGGACCCTCCACCGCTACTCTCTGGAGCGGGGTCCAGCTCGGGGTCATCGCGAAGCCACCCCGGCGGATGACTACCACCATAAATGTGGTGCGACCCGTCCTCAAGCTGGATTCGGTCCCCTCTCTTCAGGAGCGGGACCTTCGAGTGATCGTACCCGTTGGCTTTGTGGTACCGAATCACTCGGAGCATGGGCACCTCCCCATACTCACCGTCCTTTCCTCGGCGGAACAACCGTCCCCGCCAGTCTTGACGAAAAGGGTCAAGAGGTGCGGAGGGGCTGATCCCCAGGTTGGGCGGCAGAGAGGCGCCATGGCAGGCCGCCTGATGCAAGTGGTACTGCACCAGCGACTCAAAGGCCAGCCCGCATCCAGGAGCTGAGCATCCATAGTGGCCGTCAGCGGAACTGCTCGATCCCGCACCCCCGGGGGCATCCTGACCATCGTCAGACACCTCTTCCCCGTCGGCGCCTTCCCCGGCCGCCCGATTCTCTCCCTCACGGCGCAGAGTTTTGAGGGATTCCTCACGCTTGGTGATCTTCTCTAGCTTCACCATCGCGGTTCCCGCCACCTCCAGTATCTTCGACTGGAGCTTCTGCGCTCTCAGAAGAGCTTCGGACCGCGCGAGGTACTCCTTCGCGCTGCTGACCACCGATTGGCCAAGCTCGAGGAATCCTTCCTCTGTGCTCTCGGCCTGGGCCCCACCAGCGAGCTCTTCGTCCTCCTTCACCTTGACCGCGGCTTGAGGCGCCCGCGTGTCGGGAAGATCCGAGCTGGAACTATCTTCCTCGACACCTTCAGCTTCTTGGGCTGCCTCTTCCTCGAGCGAGT